ATAGCTAATAGTCTCTGTTTATTAAACGTCAGTCGTCAATCATACCTTAACTATTATTTTTCCACTTTCAGTTTGGGTAACTAAAGAATATTGGTGTTCCTGTTGCCAACGTCTAAAAATTGGTCGCAGTTCAGCCCCCAGTAAAAAAGAGTGTGTACGCATTAAATCCCGCGAGAAGAAATCAGTGTGGTGGCCGCTCTTCAGTGTAGCATACAATAAAAATGGATCATCATGTGTTCTATAATTAAATGCATAAGATATATAAATATGAATATATTATTTATATAATTATATAAATTTAATTAATGTAATAATTCTTTATGTTTACTCGCGCATTCGATTTAGAATATTATTAATTGTTAAAGATATATAAAGAGTTGATATGCAGATATTCTCTTTATAATTTAATATTATTCACATAACAGAAGATACTCTTAACATCTATATTGAAACTATTTTCATTGCGTACTGAGCATTGTATAGCTCCCTTACATTATCACTACGCGTCCAATGGCTAATGTCTCACAGTCCTGACTGCACTTCTTCCAGACACATAGATTTCTTTTAATATGGTTTTCTTTAATAAATCGTAGGAGTTGATGGTCTTAATTTATTTGAATATGACCGAGATATGGTATCTTTCTGCGTTTAATTGTTGTAAGAACTTGTCTTTCACATGAAGGTACTCTTAGGAACAGCTTTAATTGCAACAGTGGAGTGCGAAAGGGCTGCAACCTCTCACCAGCCTCTCTGTTTATCACAGTCCTAGACGTCTTTCTCGAAGCTGTGGAAGATCGCCCATCCTTTTGTATGATCATAACATTGAAGACGTGAAGGAACTAGAGTACCTGAAAAGTATAGTCAACAGCGATGGTGGCACGTCAAAGGACATCGACAGCAGAGTGAAAAAGGCTAATGTCGATTAACAAAGTCTAGAAAGCCAACAATGGGAGCCGACTCAGAAGAAACAAACCTTTGTCAATAGAAGCTTGCGGCGTATTCTGAACATATGGTGACATGCAAGAGCCAATAGAGAAAGAAGTTTAGAAACGCAAATTTGGATGGCTTGGTCACACACACGCAGTCATGGAATGGTACCCGCAAGGAGTAAGGAGACGAGGTAGTCCCAAAACCATTTGGCGAAGAACAGTGGCAACCGAAACAAACAAAACCTTTTATCAACTACGCTTTCCTGCCAGAAATAGAGGCGAATGGAAGAATATTATAACAACTATCTGTGAAGAGACTAAGTTCTGAATTTAATTTTTTTTTTTTTGTAATGAAGAACATGTCATAATAATAATAATAACTTGCCTATTATAGTTCTATGGAAGTAGCACTTCATTTATCATGTAATTATTTTACCGAATTTATAGAATTTTTCTTTATATATATTCACATTTTGAAACTTCGAGTATGTGCATATCCTAAACTACTAACGTCTACTTCTTTATACGTATAGTATAAAGAAATATTGATCACACGTAGCACTCAACGAAACGGCTTTAATTTTTTCATACCAGTTCGTATTTTGAACATAAGCGTGATTAAATGTTTTTTGACGTTTAATTCTTGAAGGAACATGCCTATTTCAGTATACCTTTTCCACCTCTATATCTTAGGTCAATAAACTTCAATTGATATGTGTTTTTTCTGCTATAACAATTATCTTCAGACTAAAGTTATTATACCCGCTAATTTTATCTACTAGACATTGCAGATCTCTCATATTGTATTGCAGATGTTATTTATCGTAACACCATTCACTTTTATGCCTTTATGAGGTTTATAAAGCCGATTATTGTAATATTTTTTTGGTCCAAATATTAGATAGTAGCGGTGACAATATGGAACCTTGTCCCTTTTCCTTTAATATCTGGATTTTGTTAGTATTTTTATTGTATTGTCTGATCTCTGCTGTTAGATTATGGTTCGCTGATCAAATATTAATAATATTAAAAATTAAGTAATAAAGGAAAAAATTTTAGTTTGACTAAGGACACACCTTCTTCTCTCTTAATTTTTTAACTTCTTATCTAAGAAGAGTAAATATAATCTTCTTACATATAGTCTATAAGTTTTATTTGACTTTTGTTGAATGGAAACATCAGTACCACTGAAGATGGTCTGCATAGTAAACCGAAATATTTATATAAATAAAGAAAAGGTTTTAATTTTGTTTCAAATTATTTGTTATTATTTAAATTTGTATTATTCTTTACTTTAACATTACTTAAAAGTTTTAAAAAAAACAACCTAAAGCTAGACAGATGCGCAAACAGATTTAATCTTTATTCTAAACTTAAGACCACTTTAAACAGATATCCTTTAGTTTTTGAAGAAATAACGTAAAAACTGAAAATAATTACTAAGTATAATATTGGAATAATATAAGTATAATATATTTGCATCGTACATAATAAATATAATAATAATAATTTGATTTTTTAAATCAATTATGACGAAAGAAACCATGTTTTTTCTATAGAAACTATTGTTGTTTAATGGAGACGTACATATTTTGTAATACACAGTAGTGAATTACAACAAAAACTATTTATTATTTATTAATTAATAAAATATATAATATATTTTTAATGAAAATTAAAATCATTTTACCATTGAACTTTGAACTAACAATAAGTTTTATTTAAAATGGTAAGTGTTTTGTACTTCTGAGAGTAATTTAAAAAATTAAAACTTAACTCTAAAAAAAATACATTGTACATTCTTAGTTTAATTTATTTAACTATATTTGGCTAAATTAGATGCTTAATTCTAAATTACAAAATATTTGTAAAGAAAATGACACAAACGATGGCATACATGTCTTATCATCTTATGCATGAGTCGAAAAACAATGCTCTCTTAATTTATACCGCTTTGTATATAGAATATATGATGTGAAAATGCTTATATACATATAGAATTACATACTTATTTTATATACTAATTTTACATTATATACATTATTAAATATTTAATAATTTTACAATATTCAGACAGTAATGAATCGCAGAAAAAATATTTTTTTTATAATTAATTTGATATTTCAGCTGACAATACAGATTTTTCGTGTATTACCTAACCTCCATCATCAGAGTCCTTTGGAAATAACTTTTGGTTTATTAGTTCGTACATAATTTTATGGATTGCAAGTGCCAGGCTTAGAACTTGGATCCTGTAATATAATAATATTATTACTGTCCACACTTTTCTATTCAAAAAATAATTTCGTCAGCATATTATCTTCTTACATTTTTATGGCGCCAGCCTTTTGTACTATTGAGAAAGCCTTTCAGGTCATTTATATTTCCGTAAAGTTTTTTTACAATAGAAATGCGGTGCTACTTCCGTTAACCATTCTTCTTTGATAACTGTTACGTTCATCATAAAGAGTTTTGTGGTTTGGAGTAATTCGCTGTAGACTATAAACTGAGGTTGTTGTATAGTATAGAGCGTTGAGTTGGGATGAATAAATAACTCCGTATCGCTGGTTATTTTTCTATAAACACCGGAATGATGCAAGTAGGCTGCATTCATAAAGAATCCAGCTGTTATACATTTGCAAAGCATCTCGACATTCCCATCGCAGGAAAATAATGCTACACCGAACTTTTTATTTGCTAAGCTAACAAGTTGTTCACGCAATTCGTAGGCGCGCTTTAAATTCCGATAAACTAAATAATATTGACCACAGAATTCTTTGGTGCGTCCATTTTCCACAAACGCAGCGTAAACATTAAGCAAAGTTATAAGATCGCCCTCAGCAACCTCGAAATTACGATTCGCAACTCTCCCTTTCATTTGTGCTTGCGCAGTTACGGGTTTCGAAAAAACAGATTCCACTTGCAACATAGCGATGATTGTCAGTATTTCTTCGGAGCAGCCCAATTGTCCTGATATATATAACATTTTTCCAAGCATCGGTCCAAACGGCAACTCAGCTAAAAAATAACCAACTGGTTTAGTTAGGTTTCCTTGCTCATTAATAGCACCCAATGCATACAACGTCTCCAACGATGAGAGCAGATTTTTAGCTGGTGGAGCTGATGGAAAATCGAAACGTAACACATTACTAATACCCAATGCTTTTAGATGTAGTAAACTTGCGCTAAGCTCTGAGCGACACATCTCTGATGGTAAACGTTCAGGAAGCTTTTCAAAGTCTGCTTCTGTGATAAGTCGATACACTTTTCCCGCACGTACACGCCCTGCTCGCCCGGCACGCTGCACTGCAGTCGCCTTACTCACCGGCACTACAACAAGACTGTCGGAACTGCTTTCTGGATTGTACCATTTCACTTTCACAAATCCACAATCAATGACGTAGACAATACCGGGTATAGTTATAGACGTCTCTGCAATATTAGTTGCAAGAACTACTTTACGCACTCCTTTTGCTAATGTAAAGAACACTTTGAGCTGGTCTCTGCTAGGCAAACCACCATACATAGGCAAAATTTGTATATCTTCCGAATTATCGCTATTTTTATATTCATTCAACAAATCTAAAGCTTCCAATACTTCTTCCTGTCCCGTTAAAAATGCCAGAATATCACCAGCTACTTCCTTCTTATGTATTTTCCAAACAGTTTCAACTGTATCACGTACATAATCTGGACAAGGCTTATTTATATAATGTATTTTAACTGGATGCATTCTACCTTCAACCGTCAACACAATGCTGGATGGCTTGCTTGACTTCTTGCGCTTGATATCGAAGAATTCGCGAAAAAATTCCGCATCAATAGTAGCAGAAGATATAATAATTTTTAAAGACTCTCGTTTACGTGCAATTTTCTTAAGCAATCCCAGTACGGTGTCAGTCAGCAAGTTCCTTTCGTGCGCTTCATCAACAATAATAACGCTGTATTGCATTAATAGTGGGTCTGCTAGTAATTCTCGTAGCAGTATACCTTCTGTCATATATTTTATTTTTGTGTTGTTTGAAATTCGCTCCATAAATCTAACAACATAGCCAACAGTGTTCCCAACCAATTCACCACGCTCCAACGCAACTCTGTCTGCTAAGGTGATTGCGGATATGCGCCTTGGTTCTGTCACACCAATTAAGCCTTTCACATGCCAGCCCCACTCACATAGATATTGTGGTACTTGTGTGCTCTTACCACTGCCAGTCTCGCCAACTAAAATGACAATTTGGTGGTTTTCCAGACAGTATAATATGTGGTTGCGATAGTTCCGTATTGGTAGTTTTTCCCGCTGCTCAGCTATGCCCAGCGAACGATGCGCATTGAAGATAAATGTTGTAGTTGCCGGGTCATCTTCTCCTTTGAGTGGTATGTCATCTTGCTCTGCAGGCCTCAAGAACTTCGGTTGCGTTTGTAGCGAAATCATTTTTCCAAAAACGCTTAATTATTTATTTAAGTTCAAAAAAAACTAAACAACATAAAGTGCCGTTCTTCAATCAGCTGTCAAGTAGTATTCTTACAGAGTTGCCGCTTTATTTTATTTTTATGTTTACTACACAAACTAATAATACACAATGATACGATTAATTTTAAAAACGCTTTATAATATCTTTTCAATTCAACTAAATAATCAACAATAATTTATATTATTTTATATTTATGTTTGTTATATATAATATTTACAACAAGAACATAAATAACAAAACATAAACAACAAATCCATGTGTATATCAGGTCAAGCGTAGAGACTGTTCCTGACAACAGGTAACGCACGAAGGAACACATAACAAAAAAACAGGTAGAGAGGCAACAAAATTAAACCAATACATCCTGAAAACAAAACATGTAGCAGATGTCAATAAGGTCAAAATAATAGATAAGACAGGATTTCATAAGAAGTGATTATGAAGAGATACACTGTGCATAAAAATCTTATACAAAAATAAAAAGAAGAAAGAAGTTCATAAGAAGTGATTTTGATCAGATGTACATAAAAATCTAGTACAAGAATAAAGAAAAGAAAAGAGAGTGATTACATTCCCAAACGTGGGACTACTGCAATATGTACTATTGAAGAACAATACTAGGAAGGAACAAGTTAACAAAGTTTGAAGTATTAGCAAACGCACGTACGCATGTATTTATATTAACATAGACTGTTAACATCTCCAAATAAGCATTATCTGCATATATAAATCAAAAAGAATAGTGAACTTTAGTTTTAGAATTTAAAATTTATAAATAGGTCTGTTCCACGGGTAACTTTGAGCAACACAGTGTATACACAAGTGCGTTCCACCATTTCGCCTAACCTAACTATCTGAGAGAGCATAACATCGCTGACGAAATTTGAAAATGCTACACAAACTTTACTCGCACATTTTATTTCAAGTAAAATTTGTGTTGATGTGCGAATCAGCTGTTTTGGTTTGAATTTAAATTTTTGTATTGTTTATTTGCGCGGCACTGATGTTTTCACCTGACTTTACACAAAGATATTCCATGGAATTCTGTGTAAAGAGCGTAATTTGACAGTTTATTTGTGTTACGCTCTCAGTTTGTACTTTAATTGTGTTTTACTTGAGTTTTACTACGGGTAGCTTGTGGAACAGACCTAAAATTTCAAATTTTATATTCAGTTTCATTAGTAGCTAGTACAATTAAATACATTTTAAATTTGACATCATCTAGTGTATGGTATATAAACTTAATCAATATTTAGGGACATTGCAGATCCCACATACATCGTGTATGGGTCTGGCTTCTTAATCTGGCAACGATTTTATAAAATGATTTCTTGCTTTCTAACGATTGATTTGGTTTCTACGATGCGTGTATTTCTTAGTCAATAACTACCTACAGCACTTTAATCAATTGATTTTGTTTGAGAATTTTATAAGGCTTTCGATAGCAGTTTTTAATTCGAGATCGTCTAAAATGAACTTTCAAGAATTGTATCACTGCTCCGGAACATATTTACAATAGATGGCAGCTTGATCTTTGTGTGTAACTTTCTATTAGACAATGACCAATTACAAAGGATATAGTAATACCGTTTTCCCTCGTACCCAAGTTAATTAGTTTCCAAAAGTAACTCTATTTGTGGTCTCATTGCAACAACTAATTACTGGTTTCTTGGGAAAAGAACCGTACTGATTGGTATATGAATACTTAAAGAAATAATTTACATAGTACATGGCAATTGCTCAGTAACAGTCACTATATCCTGGATATGGATATAGTATGGTTGATATATTAAGAATATAAATATAATTAATACTTGACCTTCAATAAATAATCATATATTAGTTTCTACTATATATCTTCCTTAAAATATATCAGCAGCAATTTTTGCTTGAAATGCACTTGGAAATTTTAGTAGTCTGTACGACATCTTAAGTAAGCTTATTTCTAAATAAATTCAAAACTAAACCTAGTTTTATATTTTGGAGCTTTAAATATAAACGTTATGTCTGACAAAAATAGTTTTATCAGATTTGCTTGACTTATCTGATAGTAGACCTTCTGTGAAATATATTAAACATTTTTAAGTATGCTATAGTGTCCTGCGTATTTTTAATTCTCATTTCATCAAATAATCATTCTGTAATTAGAAAATCAAGCTTTTGATTGGATCCCATTTTATTTGCGGCTTTATTCTTCATTTCAAGCAATAACCGAGTTAGAGAGATAATGATATATTTGAAGTTTAAGCTTAAATTTTTTTGCCCCTTGCTTGTAGGAAAGTGCAAATTCCGATAAGCACTCTCTTACGTTTATCATCTGTATTATTTTATTTATTCATATCTTCTAGGCTACGTTCTAATTTTTATGTCGTATTGAATTGTACTTCGCATAGAAAAATACATCACGATTCAAATTTGAAAGGGTTTAAATCCTGACATTTGTAGTCTAAAAATTGTATATGAACAATTAAACCCATAGATGTTTTCGAAGACCACTTATGACGATTATTTGGATGTACTGTCACTCGATTGAATATAAAATTATAATTATACATAAATATATAATTAAATAAATACTTTAAATATATTATATACATTTATATAAAATATATATTTTATTTAATTTCTACATATTTTCAAACTAAAAATTTTATTTTCAATCGAGTGACAATGCACTCAAATATATGCCATATATTTTATACAAATATATACTATACATTACTATTTATGTTTGCTAATATATACTATATATTACTGTATATATTATACAAACATATAAAATATATTACCATACATTCTTTACAAATATATATTATACATTTTTTACAAATATATATTATATATTTTATACAAATATATACTATATATTTTATACAAATATATGCTATACATTTTACAAATATATACTATATATTTTTGACAAATATGAACTATATATTTTTGACAAATATATAATATAAATTTTTTACAAATATATACTATACATTTATTACAAATATATACTTTACATTTTTTACAAATATATGCTATATATTTTTTACAAATATATACTATACATTTTTTACAAATATATGCTATATATTTTTGACAAATATATACTATATTTTATACAAATATATACTATATATTTTATACAAATATATATGTACTATATATTATATACAAATATATACTATATATTTATGTTTTTTGCAGGAGTTTAGGTCATTTGTTTCACATTAAATTTAAATAATATAAAAAATTTGCAAATAAAAACATTAATCTTATTTGTTAATTTCGGTCTATCTTCAGTGTTGTTGATACTTTTTTAATTCAACAAAAACTTTTTTAAATTATTTAAAATAATATAATACAAAAAACTACCTAAGGCCCGGCATAAAAACAAATTAGGTGGATACCAATATTTACAAACATAATATATATATATATATAATTAAATATATAAATAAATATATAAAATTAAATATATATTTAATTTCAATCAGGGCACCAAAAAGTATATCATCTATCGGACTCAACCTCATGCTGCCATTGGCATATATTGTTTAGAGATTTTGTAAATCACAATTACGGCATCTATAAAAATACCGCTTAACAAATAGAAAAGAAAGACTTACAGATTATTTGTTAGAAACACACTAGCATTTTTGTATATGTAATTCCAGGATGTCTTTGACCAATTCTGCATATGCTTTCGGCCTAGTATCAGGACATGCTTGTTTTGGCTACTGAAATATTTCACCACATTAGTAACCTAACAAAATATAATTCATTTAAAAATAATATAAAAACTACATAAAACACCCTACCAAGTTAGCCAACATAGCCGGGGATTTCTTGATACCCATTGAGTATGCAACATTGAGTCCGTCAATGACACAATCGTACGGTGCGGTTTCGGCAACGAATGCTTTAAATCTGTCAACTTCCTGAGGCGTCGATTTTTGAAAAACATCATTTCTAATCAGAACTTTATTTAAAAACGAATTACTAAGCTTAGCAAAATCTGCAGCACTGACAGAAATATTTTCCATTTGATTATTGCAGTTTCTACATTTGCCCGAGCGGCTAAGTTTAGATTTTGTAATGCTAAGCAAATTTTTGTTCTCTAGGCTCGTGATGTAATCAACTACTTTCTCACTTATGATGATATCATGCTGTCCAAAAAACTCTAACAATTTCTCAAATTCATGCTGGAAACTCTTGTCTGAATTCTTTGTTATTTGTTCAATGTAAGCAATGAATACTTCACATCTTGGCTGCTTGCCCGCTGTGACCATCTCATCCAATATTTGCCAACCATATGACATATCATTTGTGCTAAAAGCTTTGACAGCTACTTCGGAATACGCTGCTACCGTTGGCACTGCTGTAAGTTTCGCCATTTCAATCAACTCCTTACAGTCGCCAAATCGCTCTGTGGCCACAAGCCCATGTATAAGGTTTTCACAAGTGGTGGTGTCAAACACGTCATGCTTGCTTCTGAAGTGTTTATATATTGATAAAATTTCATTTTGTTCTTCTGTTGTCAGCGAATCAATGGAACCACCTCGTTCATGATAAGCTGTATTGTAAACTCGTAAGAGTCGCCCGAGGGTTGCCACATTGGGTTCAACATTGATCTTCTTCAAGTACTTCAAGTAATCTTTGGCTAATGGAAGCTGGTGTCCGTATTTAAATAAACCAATCATCATAGCATCTACGTTATTTGATGATATATATTTGTTATTATTTACAAGTGCTTGTTTAGCATCTTGCCACTCCTCTACGCTCAGTTCAGTTCGGTTATCAAAAAAATTCGTATACAAATCTTGCAGCGCAGCAGCTTGCAACTTTAAAGCAGGCGATCGCTTGAACACTCCACCTCTTCGTATTGACTGAAGTAATGCACTTCTCTCATTACAGAATTTTATTGTCGTTTTGAAATTTAGAAATTTTAAGCTATTCATTTTAGTTCCAAAATAATCCTATCTATTATTTATTATCATTGGCAATGTGTTTGAACTTAATCAGCTGTTATTTGTTTACAAAATTGCCTTGTGATGGCAATTGAGCGATAAATTAGTGAGGACAACGCACATGAAATTTGATTGTACGTTGTCATATGTTACGTTATGTCAACTTTCTTCATGTAATTTACTATGCAATATTTTACTCATAATTTTATAATTCATAAGGCACAATTTGTTATTTATTATTTATTCCTGTTTTCAAGGGAAAACAATATTGAAATAAGTATTTTATTGTATTGAAAACATATGGAAACTGTTCGTCTTAGTGGTGCTGTATGCATTACAGGGAGTTTACATTACGAACTTTGCTAGTGGATATCGATTTTGAGTGCAAAATCAGCAACCAAAGTCGCTTTGCCATATAAAAATACGCACAACAAACTTCGAACTTTGGCTGAAAGTTGACTTCGCTTAATATCTTTTCCTGAACATAGTACAGAATTTAATGCGTTATCGATAAGTTTTTGGTACAAAAATGGCGAATTGACAGATTTTTAAAAAAATATATTGCTAGCGCCAAGTTAGCAACGCTGCTGCGGAAGCTGTGTTGTTATATATGAATAAATTTAAAAAAACAATTTATTTGTTGAACTTTTTCAGATATATTTATTTACATAATAAATATAAAAATAATAATGTAATAAAAATTTTTTTTTTTTTAAAAAAAAAATAAAAAATAAATAAATATATTTAATTATTTGAGTTTTTTTTAGATATTTGAGTTGCAATCACATTTATTCTATATCTTCAGCATATTTTCTAAGCTATAGAAGTTGAAATTTCTTGTAAAACTTGAAATTTACTGCATTGATTAGGACTTCAAATTTCAGAAAATTGTATTATTCTAGTTTTGTGTTCTTTGTTGCCTTAATTAATTCTGTATTAGGAATATTCGCGTGTAAATTGTTATCGTTTCTAGATTTTTCTAAAAATAAACTTTTTGATAAAATTAATATATGCTGAATAAAGTACTAGTGTTGCTGAAAAGCTACGCTTTCTTTGTATAGTGACAGAGAAGCTTTATTTAAAATTAAGAGGTTTTTTCGAATAGCAAAAACAGAAATAAAGGACATATAAGGATATATAAGAATGGTCGCTTTGCATATAGTAAGTAAAACAATATGCATTACAAATGTCTCTACAAAAAGAGCAGCTTTGAAAACATAAAGAATAGGCGATCTGGTTGGTGTCACTAATTAAAATAAAAATAAGTGACAACAAAAAACAAAAAAAAAAACTGGAACTTGAACATTGAATGTTTGTGCAGCCTTCTTTGCTATTCGAAAAACCCTCTAAATTAATATATGTGATTTTTTTTGTATAGTTTGAAAAATACGTATCAAAGATCTACTATTCATAACGAATCGAAAGACTTTGCATATAAATAACATTCATTTTTGTTCAGTTTATTTAATTTTTTTAAAAAATAATAAATATTTCAATATTGTATAACTAAAAATTCGGGTTTCCATAACAATGTTTCCAGCTGATTGTTCATTAATAGATTAAAAAATGTAACAATTGTCAAAATGAAAACCCGAAACGATAATGTGAACACTTAATCAACGTTAATCGTTGATTAAAGTTTGTAATGTAACTCCGTATAAGATTCTCAACAATAAATACTACGTTGCGACGTAATGCTTCTGTTTCAGCCAACAGCTTTCTTCGTACAAATATGGCAACACTATTTTTAGTGATAGTTGTGCACAGCTGTTGGTTGACAACTCAATCATCATTGCAAATTCGGATAGTGTGTGTAGAGACAATAACAAGAGTGGTTTGAAATTTCGGCGTAGTATCCAAAAATAGCAAGTTATTGCTGTAACCTTAAAGAATTATTTAATATTTTATTTGGTGCTGTTTAAGAAAAAAAATATCGTAATGAGCGTGTAAGATGAACGCATTGCGTAACATCTTTAGCACGCGCACACTCAACTTACTACGACAGAATGGGCAAAATGCGCTCCTTAACTTAACACAACAACAGCCTGTAGAGGATGCAGCCACATCTGCACCTTTAATTGGGAATGATAATAATACAAAACCTGCTCCGCTACTCATACCGAAATCCATACTCGATGCAACCACATTTACGGGCAAGAAATTTGCAGCAAATGGAGCATCCTCGGGTTCGGTGTCGCCAACCACATTGAAGAACTATCGGCGCATGCAGCGCAAAGTGGAATTAGTCTATCGTTGCAAACTGTGCAACACACGGAACAGTAAAACTGTGACGGAAGCTGCATACACCAGTGGAATTGTCATATTGCAATGCGATGGTTGCGGCGTCAACCATTTGATTTGCGACAACGTAGGTTGGTTTGCGGATACAAAGTCCAAGGGCAAGACATTTGACGAAATGCTAGCCGAGCAAGGCAATCGTGTAAAGGTCATTAAAGTCAACGAACGTGGCGAACTGATCTAGTCCTTAAATTTGTTATTTTGTTATTTGCATTTTTGTACTCACGGAAATGTGAAAATGTTTTAATAAAAACAACGCATAAGCAATGAACATAAACATTTGTTTGTGTCTTCTACAATATTTAAACGGCAGTCTGCGTAAATGCTAATTAATCTAATTGTTGTTATTCTGTTTGTTGTGCAAACAAGTTTATCTTCTCGACACATCAAGACATATTTGAGATAGAAGATTCTGGCAGCGTTACAAAATTTATTATTATTTATTTATAAAAAAATTATATTTTTCCATTCAACGAAAACGGATTTAAAAAAAATTAATATCAATAATTATCATCTAAAAGTGTTTAGTCACGTCGAAAAATAAAAAAACAAACTTTTTTTTATAAATAAACTGATAACGAATGATTAACATGATTGATTAGTTCTCGTTTTATCAGTCCCATAAAAATTTGTGCAAAATTGTAGTGTAATCGATTGTTGGCGATTGGCTTTTCTGGGTAGTAGTCGCGGGTGTGCGTAATACGTCTGGAATGGCGAGGAAAGATTCCAATCGTTTCAAGTTCGCAGTTGACCACTTTATGGACTTTGTCGATTTGTTGATAGGCGTTCATTTAAGGGATTAGAATTATTGTATATCTTTCACGAATAAAGTTAATCAAGTAAATAAATAGAAGAGGTGATATAAAATCTATTTTTTGATAATTCAATAAAAATATGAATCATATATTATAAATAGCATCATATAATTATATATATATTATAATTGGTTGCTTGCATATACATATATTGTTACATATCTAAATAATATTGTTGGATATATATTCTATATACACATATGTTATACCAGTCGATTAAACCTTTTTAATATTTTATACAAAAAACTTTAGTTAAGTTAGCAATTTGAGACTATTAGAAGTTTACAGTAGAGACAATCAATTATTCAAAGATTTGAATTTTTCTAAAGCAGAGTTTTCGTGAATATTGTAATCTTCTCAGGTAGCAAATATTACAATACACAATCATAATTTAAGACAGACTAGCCTTAGATTAGACTAAACTAGACTAAAATTCACACTGACATCTTATACTTATATATATATTAATAGTATTGATCAGATGCAAGCTACTCGTTGTTTATAGGTAATGTAAATCATAGTGTCCCGCTTTGACTGCCTGACCTTTGCGGTGTCTTTCAAGCAGAGAAAATGGCAATTAACTATGCAGCAAAGTGGATCCAGAGCCATAGGATTTCGTACATGAACAACGCAATTTTCTCAGACAGTCTGAGAGGCTTTATAGTCGCTTCTCTTGTAGTTCGAAAATGTCGGGTTTCCTCAACGAGTTGTCTAGATTAGTAAGAGTCCATAATTCATATAAATATTTGGACACAGATATATCTCGTAATTGTGAAACGGATTAACTTGTGATATTATTCGTCAAGTGATTCCAAGTTGCCTCTATACTGGGCATAAGCTGTCTACAAATTGCTTCTATATTTGCCTTCTTACTGTCACTTCTCCGAGCTCAAAAATATGGTGTATAATCTGCCAAGGTATATTGATTGGCTATTGATTTCGTTTATTGTTGATCTGCGCCAGGTAATCTCAGGTCTTCCTCTTCTTCTACTGCCTTGCGGATTATACGTAAGAGCTTGAAAAGGGACTTCAATTGATGGCTTTCGTAAGGTGTAACCAATTGGCATACTGCTCTCTGAAATTCCCTCCCCGCATATTGGTATCTCACTCGTTACAGCTAAGCTAGTCAGCTTAAAAATTTTAAGCGAACACTACAAAAGCCTGGATAGTTGAAGATTCTCATCTGGACAAAATGCATAGCTGCTTCAATTAAAGCGGAATGAATTTAGTTTTATGGTATCGGTGCTGGCCGATCACTACATATTAGGAAGGCAAAAGGGAAAACTTTTTCCATCATGTAACACCTTTTGTCGAGGCTGTGGGATCTGCAGGTGAGGAAGAAAGTCTACTCCACCAAGTGCTTAGCATTGGCAGTAGAAGATTAAAAATCGTTGAGGCCCGTTTTTTAATTGACCTGGCAGAGCTGCAATTCTTTTTCAAATAAGGAATATTGCCAAATTTATAGAGTTGTCATGTTGGTTTCATTCTATTTAAACATTTGTGCATTCTTAAAAGGATACTGACCGTTAATCAAATGTTTGAAATTTTTACATCAATAGTATCATAACGAACCATTTTTGTGCTAAAGCGGTACACTAGACTGTCGCTTCAACCTAACCTAAATTATGATATCATATACAATAGTAAAGAAATGTGCAGAAGTATGTACACATGTGAATATTGTTCTAATCAAGTGTAAAGGGTTTGTAACTATTTTACGTATATACATAGATAAACTTGAAAAGCTCAATAAACTCGACATTTAGGAAATATTACGCGTCAAAGTCCAATGTTGTTATCTAATAATTTTATTTATTTTTTATAAAGTAAGTGGTATTTTATTTATTTAGAGTAAATATAAAATGGCCGTGGATAAGGTATACGCTTCATAAAGTAGGTTCAGTCAGTGC